TCTTCTCCTTGCTAAAGTATTTCGACATTGACGGTGGGTGGTGAATGAGTAAATGTTTTTACGTAGCTCTTGTATTAAAAATTTGATAGATTCGAATATGAGACAGATTCAATAATTCTTTATAATTAGACTGCGGATCTTTATGCATTTATAGGAAATTTGAATGTGCAAAAACCTACAAAATGCAAACAATATGCAAGAATATAAAAAAGATTGAAAGTAAAGTTCATGTTATAATATTTGCAGAATAAAATAAATTCCTATTTAGGTATAATTTTTGTAGGCACGTTCGCGAAGATTTTATTTTGCATAAAGATGTATTATTTCGCAGTCTACTTATAATACAATTAGTAGATTTATGATATAAATTTTGGGATAATTTATTTGAAACAATAGGTACCTTGAAACAATGTTTAAAATACCAGTGTTATTGTTTTCATAACGAGTATATATTACACTACAAGTAAAACTGCTATCAGTGAGTCATAATATCGTACCTACTTATAATACAATTAGTTTTGATACAATTAGTAGATTTATGATATAAATTTTGGAATAATTTATTTGAAACAATAGGTACCTTGAAACAACGTTTAAAATACCAGTCTTATTGTTTTCATAACGAGTATATATTACACTACAAGTAAAACTGCTATCAGTGAGTCGTAATGTCGTAATAAATATTAATGGATTATTTTAATGGCCCAGAAATTTGCAATTTCATTCTTTATACACAGTGAAATACAGAATCATTATTTTCGATGTTACTATATTTCCACATAAAAACGGCCTTGATATTTAAAATAGTAGTTCGACTATCGTTATTGCAAAAGTGCCCAGGTCTGGTCAATTGGAAGGGTCTGCCCACTCTCTGACTTTCATCGGGTTTTCACGGACAGAGAATTTCAATACCATGTCATAAACGATTATTGCCTTCCTTTGTGTGCTTTTTAGCAGATACACGCGTGCCAATAATAATTGCCATCTGAGAAAACCGGTTATTTATTGATTTTAAGAAAAACTGTTTCGTACGAAATATTACGATTACTAATAATTTTTCTTGCAATGTACATGTACATGTTCTCTTATTTTTCACTTATCGACATATTTTTTTTCTTTTCAGAAACGAGAAAGTAAACAATCACATTTTCAGAGTATTCATAAATTTTACAATTCTTATTATTGCATGAGGTCCAAAAGATTGCCAGGCAAAATTCAAAGCAGATCAATAGAAAAGTGTAAACGGTCCATTAGGACCACACTATAAATAAAGAAAAAGAAAGAAAAGAAAAAGCATGTCAAAATATTTATTCGAAAAAGATTATATATTTATAACCTTGGAATGACCTTAATGTGACTTTGAAATGATTTCCAGTCTTAACAAACAATAGATACAAAGTGTTTAATCCTCCTAACCCTTAGTATTATTTTAATTATAAATTACCATTGTAATGTTTCTACTTATTATCTCTTAAAAATAAGTAACACACATTTTGTAGATGTAGGTCACTTCAAGGTTACCTAGTTGCAACCCATTAAATTCGTCACCTTATCGATTACAACACGGTACTAAAAAAATACTCGTTGCCATATAAAATATTCAATGTAACCTTGGTATTTCGACTGCGAGACGTGAGAAAAGTGAAACGATTTTATTCGACGAGTATAATGAATACACGAGTTACCTCAGCTGACAATTATTATAAATAATAGGTGGCAAAGGACAGATTTTTCTGGTAAATCTAATCATTTTGATCACGAAGAGCAATGTTTTGAATCAAGGAAATATGATTTTCACAACCATAATGATTGAGTGTGACTAAAAATTTACATTGTTTCATTTCATTTAAGAGTCGAGGATGATAAAAAGATACTCTGCTCGAGATAATTAGAAAATCTTCATGCTTGTGTCTCGAATCGATTATCAAATACTCATTTTTATGGAATATTTAGTTTGTATATGTTCGGTAAGGTTAAACATACCGATTACTTAATTCTTGTTATTTCTGATTATTTTGGGCAGTGTTAAAAGATGGAACGCGACTCAAGCTTCATTAGAGATTCTCGAAAATTCATCTTTTCTGGCTCCACGACATATACACTACATGGTTTTCATAATAATAATAACAATTATCATTCATAGACAAACTTGTGTGTATACGAACTAACGGATGATAATTTTGCAGTCTCGAATAAGCGAACACGTACAGCGACTCCCAGAAATATTCGGACACTAGTGTATGGTTAGCTTTGTGACTTAATATCGTAGTTATTAAAAAGGCAATTGTCTTCGTTACTTTTTCCAATAGTAAGTCATTTATTAATGTTATTAAAGATGTATACATTAATCCAAAAATTTACATAAATTACGAAGGAAAAAGTAACGAAGACGATTGCTTTTTTAATAACTACGATATTAAGTCACAAAGCTAACCATACACTGGTGTCCGAATATTTCTGGGAGTCACTGTATTCTTGAACGTAACAGTGTCGTGGCACTTCTTGAAAATTCTACTTCCTCTTAAACGTGCAAACTTTCTACAATTAACTGAAGTACCTCTATGAAAGATAGTCGACAGTTTTTATTTTACAATAGGTACTTGCAGGCACAATAGACTAATAGAAATACGTTTAAAAGATGAAAGTGTGCGACGATTAACGAAAGGTTTTTAGTAGAAACTTTTACTTTCATACAGAGTCAATGCAATCTAAGTTTAAGTACTAAAGTTGCAATAATGAGCTCGATGTCATGGTATTATACGCGTGTATAAAGAAAACGAAAACACACAGTTAAAAGTTAAAACCTTCTAACAGCAAGTTTATGTACGTGGTGAATGGGAACATCTGTATTACTACTAACAAAATCTGGAATAATGGGACAATTGTACGTTACTAACTGGCACTGTTAATGTCACGGTAAACACGAGTTGGAACACAATTGTTTTTGCCGCGAGGTTTCGTGAAAACGTTCGCCGTTTAGAGTTTCTTTAACGCTTTACGATGCTGGCAGGCGCTTCGTGTTTATATTCATTTCTCTCTGTTACTTTCCTCTGGATTCCTTTTCACTCTCTCTTTTCTTTGCTTTTATCACGACAAAAATATACCGACGGCATTCTACCTTTTTATTATTTTGCTGCAAATGGACTGCCGAATATATCGCGGAAACATGTTCGTATAGAGTTGGGCAAATATAGAATTGGTCTTTATTCGAGTATTAATTGAGAAGTTAAATATAGAGTTTGTTTAAATATCGCTTGAGTAACGCAGACGTTTATTTGTTATTTTTTTATTTAAGTATAGGAAAAAAGAAACACAAAGATGATTGATAACGATTGGTTTGCTAGTTTAATTTGCAACTGCATCGATATTTTCTTTGGCTTTTTGTATTATTGTTTTTTTTTTTTTTTCGAAAACAAAGTGTTCGCAACTGGTAATTGATTTTAAGAACGACTCGTTTAATATTTAATTATTTATCCAAAGGTGTATTGAACTTGGTCGGGTTGATCATGGTCGCGAAGGAAATATACGTTCAACTTGTTTCGAAAATGGTAGGAGATTATTATATCTCGGACCTAGATTTTTAATAAATTATAGCATGTATTTTTCCCTATATTTTTTTATTTTAAACAAATAAGTAAGAAATAGAACAAATAATAAATAGTCGTACTATTCTAAATTATCGATTTAGATTGTTCAAACGATTGTCTCTTCCCTTATTTAAACCTTCGAATAATAATTTCTAATTTAAGCAATTATTGAAATAAAAATTCGTTTAAGTAATGCCCAACTCTGTATTCAGGCACTATCGATGGAAAACAAAGTATACGACAAATGTCGTAAACTTTCACACTACAATGTCACGTGGCGCAGTAAAGTTTCACTCTTGTGCAAATTAACCGACATCGAAGTTCTCTACCATACGCGGAACACGGTTCAACGAATCGCCAAAGAGAATTCTCGATGTACCCTCAACCTCGAGAGTGAAACCAATGCAAAGAACTTGCTATTATGAAAGAAAAAACGAGCAATACAGCGATTCACTCGAATACAAATCAGAGGACCGTTTTTCAAAATTTGAATTATCGCAAGGCGATAGACACTTATTTAAGGGATTATAGTCCAGTCACTTTAAATTTATCACGAAGAATCGAAGATATTTGTATCAAGTTCATTTTCTACCTACACATTGATAATTGTTCACTTATTTCTGAGTAGTTTCACAAAGGTCAGTTTTTCGTGGATATCTCGGGATTTATCCTTTTTACTACAAAAGTATATATATATATCAAAGTTGCAGATGATGACATTTTTTGCAAAAAAGGTGGTATGAGATTTTTTCATATAGTCAATACTTTATGCATAATTTAAAGCGAAGAGTGTCAACTTCGGTTCGCTGGGTAACATGAATGTAATTGTCTCCCCGTATGTGAGAGCGTTACGTCTAAAAACTATTCACTGTACGAAAAAAACTTGTAACACTTTTTTATAGAAAATTTCCTCATCTTCAACTTTGATAATAACTATTTTTACAATAATCACGATAGTTTCAAAGATATTTACGAAAAAACTTGCACCTGTCTGGACTCGTACAGAATCATCCATTCGATCTAATCGAAATGCATTTATTCAACAATATAAGATGCTATTCATAGCATCTTAATAAATAAAATACACCCTCAAAATCCGCTCGACAAATATATCTTCGTGATACTGTACCCTGTGTACTTTAATTCATGTCAGACTGGACTATTACGCCACTTTTACAGCGTAAAAGAATCGGCACTTTTTTTTCTAGTCGTCTCCATAAAATCTCAGTTTGAATAAACTTCGAGACGGTCGTAAACGTTTGCCAATAGTAAATAACTCGTTACGATGGCAGTTAAGAATCGTAGCCCTAGGCTCGAAGTCATCCGAACGAAAGTAAAGACTCGAGGAAACGCAGAAACGTGACGCAACGCGATATCGGGATGCGTTTAATCATGCTCGATTGACACCTGCAGCAAAATTGTGCCCTGGCTGTGCTTTATGGGCCGACTGACTTACCAAGCAGGAGGAATGCGAATCGTTGTCCGCGGAAAGCAGGCCAGCAGGTCCGAGGCACCGATCTTGGTGGTTGCGCCCCATTCAACCTTCATGGACGGTGGAATTGTCTACATAACTGGCTTCCCTTCGATCATCGTAAGACGAGAATCGGGACTGAACCCGTTCATCGGAAGTATGTGCCAATTATTGACAAAATTCCAAATTCACTAATTCGATTAATCCACTCCGGATAATTATAACGAGTCTGAACGTCGCGCGAGACAGGGTGGTTCTAGAAACCATGGCTCGTGGATAGTATACAGCTCCTTTTCATGACGAGATCAAATGGTTGCCAAAAGGAGCTCTAGGATTTTGTCTTTTTAATAAATTGGAACAAACGTATCCGATTTTTATGCTTAACCTTCTACGAACTTGCATAACTTTCAGGTCACGTGCTAATATATCGAGATTCTACTAAATAATTTTAGTTTTTTCATAAGATTACGTATATGTCTTAATTATGCAGGGTGGACGATTTATCTGAAGACGTTGAAATATTTCGGGAACTATGCATCGGATCAAGCTATGTGTACCTGGCATCCGACTTTTCAAGAATTAATTTTTTTTTTTTTTTTGTAGAAAATGATAGCATTTCGTTTGTACTTGATTGTACCACCAATAGTTTCGTTTGCACATTCATCAATTAATAATTAAAAAAAGATTCAAAAAATGGTCAGCACCAGACATTGAGATTTTTGTAAATCTGTTTTTTCCGTCTTCTTTAGAATCGTTTGTACTCGTTTGTACCTCGATAGTTTAAATTTCACAAGCAATTGTTGATATGCGTAAGAGAGGAGTAAATTAATTTTCAAGATTTTTAAAATCTGTTTGCAAAATTGTATGAAATAACAACAATAATATAAGTGTTACGCACTTTAGAAGATAAGGTATACCTTCATTCAAGTTTAAATCTTTTTTTCTGTATCTGTTAAAATATGATTTTGCATAAACATCGCGGTCTACTGATAATTAATAACAATTTTGACGACGGCTGACAGCACCCATCAACCTGAAATATCAAAGTAAAATTTCGTATTTGCTTGGGAAGGCGACAAGAAACCTTGTCTCGGTTTCCAGGATCACCCTGTACGATTGTTTATATAAAATCGTAGGTACTTTATCGATCAAAGAAAATTGCGTCCCTAATATATATATAAAAAACCGAATAAGTTCCTCGACTTGGTTACTCCAGGGTTGTTCCCATTCACCACGATACACGTATACTTTGTGCGTGGTTTAAAGAAAACTTTTCCTTCGCCTGTTTTAGAGAAATTCGATAAAGAGAATTCTTAAGATAACTTTGACAAAAACAAAAAGATGTAATAATATTACTCATGATGTCAAAAATACGAATGAATATAACACGTAGAGCCATAATACATCTTTATATATACACAATAGTATTTTTTGACAAAAGTTATTGCATTTTATCATCGACAATGGCTTAGATGCCGAAAAATAAAACAGAATCGACGATACCATAGAGATTACATCCGAACTAATTTAATTCGTAAACCACTCGTATTCGTTTGATGTATTACATGCATGTGTCTGTGGTGTACTCGCAGAACTTATCAACTATACGCAACCGGTCTACGTTTGGAGGGACGACCCTAATTCACGACAGAATACGATCAAGGAAATTATCGAAAGGGCTACTTCGAAAGAGGATTGGCCGCAGGTATCGTTGACAATATAAATGAGGGAATATTTCGATTAAGAGCAATTTAGTTTACCATGGCTCTCGTTTTACCTCAAGTTTAACTACGAACGAGTTTGTAGATCCATAGAACTATTCATAGACAGTCCCATACATATTCGTAGCCACTATGTCTATTGAAGAAAGACTAAATTAAGTGATTGGTTTGATGTTTCCAAATAAATACTTCGTTATAAATATGTACATGAATAAACTTTAGACATATACATATTTGAAAATAGAAACTTGTAGAATATAGACATACAGGTGTACACATTTGAAGATGTCTACTGAAAAAAGACTAAATTAAGTGATTGGTTTGTTGTTTCCAAATAAATCCTTCGTTATAAATA